TTCAGAAATGGTGAGATTTTGTGATCCTGGCAGTAATTTAAAAAAATTATCTCTCATGAACATTTTATGTCATTTTCTGATGGAGAGTTAGTGGAAGATCAGGGTATGTTCTAGAGTCAATGTATCGAGTAAGACAATCACCCATACGCAAGTCACCGGAGCAAATCACACCCAACTGGGAATGCAGTATAATTTTTAACCCTATTTCCAGACTCTCGTTGCTAAGGCAATCGTAATTGCTGATGCAAATTGAACTCATATTAGGTGACCGGCTCCAAGCACTTAACATGTATTAGTTCACTTGACCCTCACAACCATCACCACTTTGGAGTTGAGGATTTGAGACAGGGGTTAATTAAGTAAGTGTGACCTTTGTCTGGCAGGACCATGATCTACACCTCGCACAAGCCATTTCCTCTTTTTGGGACGCTCGTGCCCGCACCCTTCTGGGACCAGCTCCCCCCTTTCAGGTCTCGGCTGCAGCATCGCTTCCTCGGAGAGGCCTGCTCAGCCTCTCGTAAGCAGCCCCCCCTTGTTAATCTGCCTCTCAGCCCCTTGCTTATTTCCTTCATGGCACTTATTACAAATTCAAAACTTTTCCTACTTTTTCTTTCTTTCTTACTAGAACCTAAATTCCATTAAGGCAGGGACCAGCCCAGTCTTGTTCACCTTCCCAGTCCTAGCGCCTTGCAGAGTCTAGCATATAGTAGTTGTTCATTAAATGCCTGCTGATGAGTAAATTGATACCGACTTCAAAGTTAGTTGTTCCCGAATCTTTGTACTATACCAACAGTAAGAGAAATATCCCATTGAAGTATAATGCTGTATTATTGACTCAGGTCGGTACTCAGCAGTAGCTTCTTTTTCTACGTATTCCTAGAAATTTTACAATGAGAAATTTCTGGGAGAAGGCATGTAAGCCTAGCTAGGCAAAAGATAAACATACTCAGTATGATAAAAAGCCAACTTGAATCGATATATACCAAAAATGCGCCAGTGTGTGTTGTTGGAAAAACATTTATTGCAATTCAGTGTCAAAAAATTTTTACAAAAATATGCCACCGTCTGGTACAAACAACTATAAAAAAGTCAGTTCATCATGCAAGGAAAGTGTGCAAATAATTTATACAGATGGACTCAGCTCACACAATATTAAATAAACAACTTTGCACGTAATTGGTCTAACTTTATACTTTTAGTTACAATGTTCAACCCTGTATACTATTTTTCATTTAAAGAGTAAAGCCTCTAAGCTCAGGACCTGGCCTTGAATATATCCCCCTTTAGCCAGGGTGATTGGCACTTGGTAGAATAAAGATGGCTCCAAGAAGGCAGAGCTCTGAGCCTTCTGTTTAACAGACTTGTGTACCATTAATTAAACAAACATTTCTATAGCCAAAGACAGAAAAAGTCACCTTCGAACTCCAGAAGCAATGTTGTAGCAGATGGAGTTTCAAGGAGTTCAGAGTTTGGAGCAGCCATCCATTTTGGCCAAATGCAGCAGGACCTAAGTTTTGAGAGATTTTTTAGGAACTTTTGTTTGCTGAGTGAATTCAAGGACACTTTGAAAAATGTCTAGTAGACAAAGTCTTAAATATCGTGGTTCTTGGCTCCTTGCTGCCTCATGGAATAATCCCCCCTTGCTTCATAAAGACAAGGTTTAGCAGAGAGCAAACTTCCATGGGGATAGAGGCTTGCAGGATGGGGTTCCACCACAGGTACCCCAGGACAGGGCGATGGAGGGGATGTACTTCCTAGCCTAAGGGGAGAGGAAATATCTGCTTGGTAATCATCAGAACCTCAGTTTTTAGAAGGCAAGCCGACTGCTCAGCTATGATCTCTCTTAGGGGCCACTTTGGTAATTAAAACATAAGTACCCAGGGAAAAATGAATTTGTCAAAGCATGTTGCTTACTTTATAGCCAGCAGGTTGCACTCAATAGAATGCTGTATTCACTAGAGTCAGCAGTCTGGAAAAATATTAAGAGGCTCCTGAATTTCTCCAGGAAGAATCAGGGACTTAAAGTGTTTGGAAAAGTAATGGCCAGATGCCTAACACTGGACCCTCACGCTTGCCTTCCACAGTGAAGGTCTTGAGAAGGCTCAGGTTGGTGTCACATGTCTCCAGGTGTTGGGGTAGGGGGCACAAAGTCAAGGCCTCAGAAAGTCACAGGTTTATGCTCAGGTCCACCACTGAGTACCAGGTAGGCTGAGGCATGGCCCCTGAATATTCTTGACCCCATTACCTCATCTTGAAAGGCAAAGGGGGTGCCAGACTTCAACATCTCTAACCTTCCTTCTAGCACCAAAGTTTTCCCTTGGAAAACGATGGAGGGTTTACTTTCCTTAACGAAACAGAGAAGAAAGCATCTACAGAAAACGAGCTTAAAGGAATTACGATCTTGTTTGTTGAAGACATCAAGGGCCCAAGATATATCAAATAGTCAGTGTCTGCATTTGCCTAGAGGTTCAGGGTGTTTCTGAGGTCTGTTTAAACACTAATAGGATTTTAGGCCAGCATCCAGTCAGAGGGATGGTTCACAGACTCAGAGAGTTGGAAACAGATTAAAAAACACACCAAAACAACAGATGTCAACATAGAAACTGATGATATAGTTTAGTTAGAAAAAATTCACACATAAAATTACAGTTAAAAAAATTCACACATAAAATAGAGTGTTTGCATAGCAAGACATTATTGCCCTATAGCCTGGCAGAAAAGTATAAACTCAGGTGCATATTTTATGATAAATATTATATTGAACACTAAGGATGACATACCATTGAACATGTCTTGAAATGATTGACCTTCTTGTATATCATACCACTTGCTCAGACAAATGTAACTCCAAACTCTTTCTCTTCTCCCACAAAATGACAGGAACAAAGAGCCTCTGTTAATAGCAAGCTCATCGTGAAAGTTTTTGAATCCGCAAAGATGAGAACTGTGGCAATAATGCAATACACAGGCGTGGTACCTTACTTCACCGTCGCCAAGCAAGGCCTGCTCTTGTGGAATCTTGCAGTATAAACCCAGCTCATCTAAAATCTCTCTTCTGAGCCACTTCAATATAAAACTGATCATCGCTAAACAAATGTCATCACACAACTGACACCTTGAAGTTTCTGCCACTCGCAGTCCCATGAGACTGATCCATCTGCTCGAAGTAACAGCGCTGAGTGATAACGCAATCTAGTTTAAGATGCCATTGGACATTTTTCGGGATCTTGCTACAAAGTGAAACCCCCTAAGCTTCGCATATTCTCCTCTCCTGAAATGCTGTTCATTCTCAAGACACTCTAGGCTCATTGCTCATAAACTTTGAGTTGCACCACATGGTGATATCCCCGTTGATCTGCCTACACTGCCCTGGACAAAACTTTCCTTTTCTGGAAGTCCAAATTATTTCATGTTTCGCATCAGTTTCAAATGCTATGCCACAGGGTTGGGGTAGGGGTGGGTAAGTACAGCAAAGGGAGTAGAGTGTTCTCCCTCTTCCAGCAGTTTCCATTGCCATGGCCCTTCTGGCTTGTGGGCCAAGCAGCTCTGACACAGGGATTCTGTGTTTTTGTTTTTCAGGTGGGGTTGTCCTGGGAGGCTTTGCCCAGACATTCCATAGATGATTAGTGCCCAGGGGACACGAATTTTCTTTTTACCTCACTTTACTTGAATGTGAGGCTCTGGCCACGCTTCACAGCTGCCACGTGGCACCCACGCAGATGCTGTGTGACGCTGTGCTCGACCCCACTGCCCTCACACAGACCACAGCTTCGGAGATGCCATTTCTCCGCCTTTCCCTCTCCCTCTCCACCTGCAGTTTCATTCTTACTCTCCTCTTCCAAAGGATGAGAACCACAAGTGTCGGTTTCTCTTTTTTTCCTTAAAAATTTCCCTTGGCCGGCCGGCTGTGGCTCAGCGGTTGAGCATCGACCCAGGATCCAGGAGATCGCGGTTCGATGCCCGGTCAGGGCACATGCCCGGGTTGTGGGCTCCATCCCGTTGGGGGCGTGCAGGGGGCAGCTGATCAATGACTCTCATCATTGATGCTTCTCTCTCTCTCCCTCTCCCTTCCTCTCTCTAAAATAAAATCTTTAAAAAAAAAATTCCCCTAGACTCTGTCACACACCACCTCCAATGACACCAGAGGAGATGGGAAAGCCCAGAGGCACCATCTAGGTAGCCCTGTCACTTGGAGTAGGGGTCACCTTGCACACATGCGCCTTGCTGCCTAGGGCAAGGTGAGCGACCACAAGCACTGTGGACAGTCCAACCGAAGCTGGTTTGCCAGCTTTGTGCTGATAGTCAAGAGCAGGTGACATTTCAGGGACTGCAAACTTGAAGGTGCCCAGGAGCTTCCACCTCCTTGATCAACATGAGGAGGTGGAGGTCATGAGTTGGTGGGAAAGTGTGGAAGGCCATGAACACCTAACCCTAAAATTGTAGACAGTCCAAGTTTCCAGGGCTCCACCCCACATCTTTAAGAAGGCTGAGGCATTTGAGAAAAGCTGTCCAAATTATGGAAGCTTTTTAACTCCACAGTTGTAGGCCCTGCATTCTCAATGTGACTTTGACTCGGTGGGGAGAGCAAAAAACCCCTCTCAGTATTACAATGGTTTGTGGCACTCCAAAGCCCAGCCTTACCCAACAAGATTTTATTGTTTAGTATTTAATTTTTCTCACTAGGAAGAATTTAAATTCAACTTAATTTTTTCTTCTTGGAGGGTGATAATGAAAAAATAATTGAGAAACCCTGGTGTAGGCACAAACATGGCAAAGTGAGAAGCACTGACTAGCAGTTGGCTTCTCTTCCAAATGCTGGTACGTGAGTTGCATGTTGAGGGAAGGGTGTGAGGAGGCCCTGCATCAGTAGCTCGTCCCTGGGCCTGTTTCTGTACATGCCTAACCCTCTTTCCCCTCTTCAGGTCACCCCAAGTTCAACCCCTAAGGATTTACGGATCCTCAGTGTGAATGTGAACCAAGTTCCTATTTTGCTTCACTTATTTTCCAAGCACATGCAGGGTGGCAACTTTATTTACAAAACAAAAAAAACAAAAACAAGGCTAAGCAAATACAACAGCAAAAATACGTACATTGTTGTAGAAAAGCAAAGTTCTATAAAAAGTAAAAAACAAAAACACTCCCCACCCCCTCCCAGGAATATTTGACAATAAACTCATTACATCCTGAGATTTCCTTTCTTCTACCTAGTTACTTGCTGGGATAGGCCTGGCAAGATCCCCTGGGGTATAAATCGTGTTTAGGATGAACTCTAAGCACCTCTGTTCCCTACTTGGCTGGAACTCCAGGCTTTATTTTATCACCCTACTAGAAGCCCCACTCTCAGGTTGACCAGATTTAGATGTGGGGCGTAAAGAAAGCAAGCTCCTCAGCTCACCACCCGCCAAGAGCAAGGGCAGCTGGTAGCCCGTTTCGCACGTCAAACCTGCTTTACAAGCCTTTATCAGCACTCTGGCTCCGACCAGCCCACAGAGATGCCCTTATGCTTATCTGCGAAGATACCCCGGGAAGCAGACACGCCAAGAAATGAAACAGGAGTAAGAAAGTCTTCACAGCAATGGGGTGACTAATTCTACCTTTTCTGTGGCAGGACATCCTCTGGGATGTTTCTAATTGGCCTTCTGTTGCCCCGAATGAGCTACATGTAACATGAAAGGATAGAAGGCCTACGTGCTTGGGGGTTGTTCTAGAAGAGAGGCAACTCCGAAGGCTGCCCCATTCACCTCCCCAGGAACATAATGAGGATTGCCTCAAGATCCCTTCCCATTTCAAATCACTTTTTGTATGATGAAAACACAAGAAGAACAGACAGTGTCCGAGAGATCGCTGTGTGCTTTCCGAGGTAGACTATTGTGTGATCTCTTTGTACGATAAGGCCCTACGGGGGTTTCCGATGGGTAGTACTTCCGCTGCCTTTTCCAAGCTAACCCAAAATTAAACCAGAAGCCCAGGGATTTCTCCTCGGTAGCTTTTCTTCTTTCTTTTTCTTCTTTTTTTTTTTTAAACAAATTTTCACATTGTAAACAAAGTGTGTTCTGTCTTGTATTCGAGTTCTGCCCTCTTCTTCCACATCTCTGGGGAACTATGCAGGAGTTCTGGTGAACATCAAGAGAATTCCGTTTTCACCGAAGGCACAGATCTCCTGCCCTTATAGTCTTGCTGGCAAATCATTAGGGGAAAAAAGTTTATTTACAGTATTTCTGCTTTTCCATACCAATTGTAATGAGAAGTCCATATTCTTCAACTCCCAGCCAGCGACTGCGTCTCTCCCCTCCAATGTCCTCTCCGTGACCTATCTCAGAAGCTTCGAGCCAATGTTTAAAATGTACACTATTTACAAATGAAGTGTCCAAACTCTGTATCCCCAACCATCCAACCAGCAGGGGACCCTTTTGAAGTGCTGTCATGTGCTGCGATTCAGAACTTGAACAAGTTGATAAAGTCCTGGGGAGAGAGCGAAACGGAGCAGCTCTCTGGGTTGTTGGCCGTGCATGGGTGGTCAGTGCCCTGGAAAGGAACATCAAGGTCAGGTCTGAGTTCTGAGAAACATCTCACTGGCGTGGAGCACCATACGGCATTGCCCAACCTCAAAACAACATCCCTCTGCCAAGAATGCCATAAATTCTGGAAAAACTAAAGAGCTGTGTGCACTCACTCGCACGTGTGTGTGTGTGTATGTGTGTGCACTTGTGTACAAAGATGGGAGGATTTGCAGGCGGGTGGGTTACAGAAAAAAAATAAACCTATGGGGGGGTTGTGTTGAAGAAAATTAAGGTCTTTGAAAGTTTCTCTCCCCAGGGACAGAATTGTTTTTACCTTCACCTTTGTCTGGAAGTTGCAATAGTGAAGATTAGTAAAGGATTTGGCGGTGTAACGGCTGACACTATAGGCTCTTAGGGGCTAGGCTAGGGGTCCGCGGCAGCCACCTCTGAGACACATACCTTCCAGGAAAGAATGTGACAGTGTTTGCAAAGCTGTAGGGTGTCTCCATACTGCTCTTTCCGTGGGTAGCATCGTACAAGTTTAAAATACATCTTCTTCCAATCCAGCTGTCCTTTGTCTGACAGAATTAATCGCTTGCGGATCTAAATATCAAATAAAGGTCGTTGCAGGAGAGCCCAGCAAGAGGAGGGTTTGTGGATTTCTGGTTCTGAAAGTTCTGCGCCCACCCCTTCCCTCCGTTTTCATCTCTACCCTGCAATAGGTAAGGGAAAATAGCCAAGATAGAAAGAAGTATCTTCTGATAAACAGTGGCTTTTAATCAGTCTTTAAAAGAGACAGGTGGTTGGTGACATCTTCCTAGTGACCTCTACTAAACTGCATTTGGATGGTCCTTTAAAGCTTAGGTGGCCCCTGGCCAGGTAGCTCAGCTGGTTAGAGCATCATCTGGAAATGCCAAGGCTGCAGGTTTGATCTCGGGTCAGTGCACATACAAGAAGCAACCAATGAATGCATAAATAGGTGGAATAACAAACTGATGTTTCTCTCTCTCTCTCTCAAAATCAATAAATTAAAAAAATTGAAGTTTAAGTGATCTTAATGATCAACGTCAATCTTTTCTTTGCTCTAACTTGAGCGATCATTTCCAGGGAGATGCAGTAAGTGCTCGGCATGGTGACTCTACTTTATATCTAAATATCACAGGCTTTGTGAGCAGAACTTGTTGAACTCACATGTCTACATAAAGAAGCTGGAAAACAAGACTGAGGCACCATGAGGAAGGGAAGAGCCCAGAGTTGGTCAGAAGGCCCAGATTCAAATTCAAGGCCAGTTTCCTCAACTAGGGAACCCTTTTACTAATTTCAATGTCACTCAGTCCCTTCTTTTTAAAGGGGGCATCATGATATCTACCTTCCCCTGGGTCACTAAAATAAAATGAAATGATATCTGTAAAAGCACTTTAGCTGTAAAACATCATAAAAGTATAAGTTACTTTGTTATAGAAAAGAAGGACTGGTGTCAATTTGTGATTTTTTTTTTGAGAAAGTTGTAAAATGTGGATAGGTTAAGAATGAGAGTTTTTTGCCCCCCATCAAAACCACCTAAAAAACCCCCAAACTTCACACACATTACTTAGAAACTCCTTGAACTGTTGTTTTCCAGTCAAACTAGGAAGCCCTGGAGGGTGGGCACCCATGCTTTAAGCTAGAGAAGATGCCAAGGAAGCCTGAGGGTGGGACAGAGGAGGGACAGACGGAAGGAGTGTCCGGGGCCCCACCCACCTGCCGCTCGGAGAAGTGGTACAGGCAGAGCCTCTTCCACAGCAGCCGGTCCTCGCTGAGCACGTGCAGGTTGGGGGCCACCTGGCCCAGGCTGACCAGGTCGCGCCCGTCGCTCAGCCTCTGCATGATGTTCAGTTGGAGGCACAAAGGCAGGTCGGTGAAGGTGAGGCCTTTGAAGGCAGGCTGCGGAGGGAAGGGTGATGTTAAGTCTCGGGGTAGAGAGCAACAATTCACCAGGCGACACCCTCCAAGGATGCAGCTGTCCCCTTGCCCCCCATCTTCAAGCTGGTTTATTCAGCAATCAAACGCAGCAAGTCTCCCTGCCCTACGGGACCATGGCTGAGACCACAAAGAACAGCCTGGACCAGCTGGGAGCTGAATGGTGCCAGAGAGGTTTTCCTGTTTTACAAAGCCTCATACTCGACTCCTGAAGATTCTCCCAGCAACACATGTCAGCTTCTCCTGTTTCAGTCCGTTCACTCGATTACGAGATTCACTACTTTCTGGAAGGGCTCACTGCCCTGGACAGAGCACCACCTGCCCGCCGCCCCGGCCCCCATCTCACTGGCCCTGGTGACCACTGTTCCCCGCAAGCAGGCTCTCTCACCGGCCCCCAAACACGCTGCGCACGGGGCCTCCCCTGCCCCGGCTGATCCAAATGTTACTCTTCCTCAGCTCAGTCAAATCCGCTTCCTCTGAAAGGCCTTTTCGGCTCTTCTGACTCCCTCAGGCCTCATTCTTTGCATCCCCTAGAATCCCTATGGCCTCTTTCAGGTACTTTTTGCAGCAAGCCCCCTTTTGGTTTGTAATGCAACCCTTTTCCAAAAGGAAGCTGGAATGGAACAGTCCTGTTAGAACGTAAGGTCCAAGGAGGCAGGAAGCTTGGTCGTTTTTCTTTGCTGTGTCCCCAGTGTCTAGGAGGGTGCCTCACATATAGTAGGCACTCAATAATACTGTGGAATGAATGACACCCGGAAAATAAAATAGGTAAACAGCAACAAAAAGACCCTGCCCTGGTGTGTGTGTGTGTGTGTGTGTGTGTGTAGGTGTATGAGCACTCGCATGTGTGTGCACATGTACTCACACTGTGAAAATGGCATCTAGAACCCTTTGGCCTAAATGCCACCATCCACGGAGGTATCTCTATTCAAACCTAGCGCTCCAAAGACCATTTTGAAAACTGTTGTCTGTGGATAATACATTGGTAATTAATCATGAGCTTTTCAAACTATATTCCTGAACTTTTACTTAAGTCCTTTATTGTTTTAATTTGATAAGCTCATGTTAACCCACCCAGACCCACAGCCTTCAAGTCAGAGGTCTAACTTTGTATTCTTTACAGACTAGCCCAGTGCAAGCAACATCTTCAGATGTCTTACTGTGGGCTCATTAGGCAAGGGAGAGACCCAGAAACATAAGCAAATAATTCTAGAACAATCTCTATTCAGAAGATCCTCAGTCTTTGCCGATAGGTCCTGCACATCAGCCGGATGCTGCCATCCTGGTAAGAAGTCGGCACAAATCACCTTAGACTGTGGTTCTTGATTCCTGGGTGAGCTTTTGAGTTTGCACTACTAACATTTTTAGCTCAGTATTCTGTCACTTCTGGGGGTCACAGGAAAACAAGTACAGAACGAAGGAACCCTTTCTTAGCTCAGAGGAAAATATCTGGGGAGTGGGTATCGAGTTCCCTCCTCCAATTTCTAGGGAACTAGACCGTAGGAAGCACATCGAAGCCCAAACACACAGGATTCCTGGGGGATGTGCAGTCCTAGCATTTCCATCCTGTGTCCCCTGCAAAGCAGGACAGGTGCGCAGAGGGAAGGTGGGCAGTGGCAGGGGCCCTGGAAAGACGGTCTGGGAGAAGAATGGGCAGTTGCAGGGAGGGACACGGGATGGCCACGCAACAGATCTGGGCACCGGGTGTCTTTCGGGAGTCTGAGTCTCATTTTCCCCACGTCCAAAATGAACTGGTTTAGAAGATTCTGAAGATCCCTTCCAGCTCCAGCAAGCTCAGATCTGGAGCCGTCTCAGCCTCCTAACTCATCAGAAGTGTCTATGACTTGGCGATTTTTATTGCTCAGGCTGCTGCGTTGAACTTTCAATTGTTTGCAAAATTCAGGGCTTTGCCAGGCTGCAGAAGGCCCTAGGCCCATTTGTCGTTTATCATCTGCTGCTGATCATATGAGCTAATAAAACTGCCATGAGATTTTCTTTTTGTTCCCAGCACTTCAAAGCATCTTCTTTTTTGGTTAAAACTCCCAGGCCAATTATTATATGAACTCCTATTAAAGTCCGCTTGGCAGGGTTCACCCTTGAATTTTCAAACCTGAACTTTTTCAAAATTCTTGCCCAGACCCCATGCCGAGCCCTCACTCCCGATACAAGGTTAACTGCTTCTGTGCCTTTTTTCTCAATATGAACACTTAAGAGAAAAGCAAGTTCCTCTCGCTTCTGTGATCAAGCATGTGGCCAAGCTCCTTTACCCGCTCTGCCCCCACACACCTCAAAGCCCTGCCCCGCTCACAGCACACTCTGATTCTATTTACCCCCCCCACCAGTTCTCTTCATTTGTCCATCCTTTATTGTATTAATTAGTTTGCCAATAAAAACTGGCTCCATAGAGTTAGATATAAAATTTTGATGGAAAACGAGATACTGATAGAACTTTGGCAACTAGAAAGCAGTTACTGCAAATGTCACCTGTTAACATTTTTGTGCAATAATGTACGTTTCTTTGGTCCAAACTGTTAAAGAATAAGCTTTTTAAATACAGTCCAGACTGAAGTAATTAAGTCCCTTCCCCCCCCCCTCCTTTTTCCCCCTCTGGAGAGCTGGGCATTTGTGTGAAAAGCTCTTCAGGGCCCCCTGGGTTCCCTGCTCTCAAAATCATGCAGCTCAGAGCCAAGGAGGGTCGGGAAGGAGGGCAAGAGGGAGGAGAGAGTACGGCGTCTGCAGACAGGCCTGGGCTCATCCCCACGCACACCTTACCAGCGCTGAGACCTGGCCAGGTTATTCCTAACTACTCAGTTATATATAAAATTAGAAAATCATATCTCAGAGTATTGCTGGGAGGAATGGTGAGATACTCACGGAAGTCCTTAGCTATTATAATGTCTCCTACTTACAGTCATGTACTAGATGAGCTAATATACAGCGTGCGGCAAAAGTAGGTTTACAGTTGTTTATATAGAAAATAATACAGTAATAAATAATAATACAAGAATAAACTCTGTATACATACCACCCTGTATAGCGGGCCCTTAATAATAATAACAGTGATGCATTTATAATACTTAACTGCACGGTTCCAAGTGCTTTCTGTGCATTAACTTCTTAACNGGTGCGGCAAAAGTAGGTTTACAGTTGTTTATATAGAAAATAATACACTAATAAATAATAATACAAGAATAAACTCTGTATACATACCACCCTGTATGTAAAGGACTTAGACGAGTGTCTGCCACAGAGCAGGCCCTTAATAATAATAACAGTGATGCATTTACAATACTTAACTGCACGGTTCCAAGTGCTTTCTGTGCATTAACTTCTTAACTCTTACCCCAGGGATATGAGACACACATTGTTGCCCTATTTTCCAAATGAGGAAACTGAGACAGGAAGTGGCTGAATAACTTGCCCCGAATCCTGTGGTTGGTAAATTGTCATCACCATCCCTAATACAGGACAATTTTTTCTGACTGTAATCCTCTGAACTTTGATCAAGTACTTCAGGCAGGTGGAGGGAGGAAACTTCCTTTCAATCATTCATTCATTCAACTAAAATTTATTGATTGCCTTCTGATCTGTGCCAGGTACAGGGATCAGAGCAGGGAACAAGATGGTAACATCCTTTCTTTGTGGAGTTGATAAGCTGGAGACAGGAGAGTGAATCCCAGTATGAGATCATTTCAGATGGTAGTAACTGCTCTGAAGAAGGTGAGATGATAGTGGCTTCGATAGATTGGTGGTCAGGGGAGGTGACAAGTGAAAAGGCCTGAGCCAGGACCAAGCTCAGAGTGTGCAGAAAATAGCTTGGCCCAGCTGCAGCACCACGAACAGAGTGAGATGAGCTTCAGTGTTTATCGGTTCTATGTGGGATTTCTTTGGATTTAAAAGGTTTGCAAAAAGCTGAATCACTGAATAAATAGTTGGAAGAAAGCTGGATTGAGAGAAAGTTTGGAGAGCATTGATGTTAAGAAAGCTTTGCCATTTTAGGAATAAGAAGTCCAGGGTTCTGGCCTCGGCTGAGTTACTTGGGGAAAGTCACTGGGCTTCTCTGGTTCCACCCCTTGAAGATACAGCAACTGCAACGGCTACCTCCCAAGAGCGTGTGTGGATCCAGTAAAAGGGGCTCTGGGGAAGTAAGCCCATGGAAGTGCAAGGCACGTGGGTAGATGTGGCCAAGGGGGCCCTGAGAGGTGAACAAAAGCCAGCTCTTGGGCAAGAGTGACCATCCAAATGGGTGTCCCAAAGTTGCTGGAGGGAAGATGCCTTTGGGACAAATGGGACTTGCTCATTTATATCACCGGCTGGGTAATTCTCTTCTGGGCTTAGAGAAAATAGTAAGTATTAAATCCAGGCTAAAGAGAATGCCAGAGATTAGGTAGAAAGTGTAAGTGGGTTTTCTGTGAGAGATAAGCTGGAAGTTTGTGTCTCAAATTCACATTGTGAAACTATGCCTACCCTTGAAAGACGGGAATGGAATAAATTATTAAAATAAATCAGACAAATGTTCATAAGAAATTCCTGTATTCTCTTACGATAATCAAATAATGGAGATAGCTTTTGAAAGACTACCTGGGCTTGTGCTCAGCATTGTGTGTGCGTGTGTGTGTATATGTGTGTGATTCTAAGGAAGTCACAACTCTGAGGCCTGTTTCAGCGTTTAAGAAATGAATGCACAGAGAGGTTGTTAACAGTATTGTCAAAAGACATTGCATTTTGAAAACTTCATATAGTAAAAGAATCATTTAAAAAAAGTCAGAGGTTTTTTCATGTTACTTTCTTGAGAGGTGGGGCAGCCCAAACTTATCAGCTCTGGTGCCGGAACCACTTAAAGCAGCTGCGGTCAGTGATTAGATAAGTAAGCCAAGTGCTCGGTGAGCTGCCTGAGTGCGCCCGTCCATTAGGGAGCCTTCGGAGATTACACCAGCGTCTTTCTCACAGCTTTTGTGGGTCTTGTTCCTCCTGCTCACTAGTAAGAGGACAAGAGCTGAAGGCCAAGTTAAAGCCTAAAAGAAACAACTGATAGTAGTTAAGCTGGAAACACAGGGCTTTTTTTCGTTGGCTTTGAATAGGAACTCCTCATCTTTTCTTAGATGTATGTTCATAGTCTTTAATCAAAGGCTTCCTTTGTCATAACTATTGAGAATTGGAACTAGAATTTTAAAAGGCTGGGACCAGTTCTTCAAGCCACTGCCATCACAGCTCTATTGTATTCAAGGCAGCACCCCAAAGCTGCAAACAACACAGGCTTTAAGAGCAAAAGGCCAAAGAGGAGAGATCTCCAAATCGCACTACAGATTTCAGTGGTGGGGCCAACATCTTCCCCAAAGCTGGCTTTCTGGCCTCCCCACCATGCTTCATCTTTCACGCACTCGGATCCTGTTCTGCCAAGCTCTTCCCACCCTCCCTTTATCAGGAAGCCCCCCTCCAGCACTCAGGATAAAGCGTCGGAACAGAACGGCCAGGCTCTTCCCTCAGCAGGGCGGAGATAAGGTCCTGGCGAGGCTGCCGGGCATCTGGGCGGAGCAGCCGGCTGAGGCCTCTGCCGCCGGGACGGGGCTGGGGCCTGCTTACCCTGGTGATCTGGATGTTGTTCAGCTGCTGCTGCCAGTGCAGAATCGTCTCCATCCGGTACACCCACATGTTAATGTTCCCGACCAGCACGCACTTGCCGACTCTCTGCACCAGCGTGCACAAGGAGGTGTAGAGGGTCTGCAGCAGCTCCCTTATTAGTCTGATGTTCTGCTGGTCTTCAAGGACTTGGGTGGGGAAGGAAACAGGAGCGGCAGTTAGGCCCGGGACGCGGCATGGTCTAAGCGGGCCTCTTCTCCACCCTGCTCCTGTTACCGGGGTACTGCCTCTGGGGATGCGGTTTTCTTTCTCGCCGGTGTCTCTTCTCGACTTGGCGGAGTTTCTGCACTCGAGGTTACTGGGTAGAGTTTCCATTATCTGGGTCCCTCTTTGTTCTCGCCTCCCTAGTTTTCTACAAAGACTCTTTCTTTTTCATGGTTCCACCAGCACCGGGGCTCACCTGACCTGAAGGCAGTCGCTTTGGCCCGCGATGCCGTCCCTTTTAGGTGGTCAGTGGCACGAGCGTATGGGAGTTGGGAGCTTGGGTTTTAACCCTGTATGGATGCCCCTTTGTGTGATTATGGACAAATCCCTCTTCCTCACGGGCCTCAGTTTTCCCATATGTACACTGACTCAGTTGATCCCAAAACCTAAGGTTCCTTCTAGCTCAGAGTCTATATATCTATTCTGCCGCCTTGTACACAGCTCACTTTTCTAGGAATTTGGAATCCAGAGGCTCAGTAGTCAAGGTGGGAACATGTGTCGATGCTGAGAAGCCTAAGAGGCATATGGCAGGATGGAAGAGTTCAGTAAAAGGACAGGAAGGTGATGCTCTTACTCTGCCATGGGCATGAGTTGTACCTTTTTCTGAAATGGGATCTGAGATGCATCTGGAGTTATCCATTTCCATCCGCTCACAATCCCTTAAATCTAACGACATGTCCATTCTATTGGAAAATCCATCTGTCCGTCCCCATGCCTATAAAAAGGGGTGAGAGAGTGAGAGAGAGCTCACCTTTCAGTACCACTTTTTCCAAAATGTTCATGAAGTTCTTCTGGGCGATGCCACTCAGGGATGTGAGCTGTGACTTTGCTATCAGTTCCAACAGCTGTGGATAAAAATAGAAGTTGCCAGGCTTAGAATACAGAGATATTTTCTCCTCTAATCTTTGCTTTTGAGTCACATGACACGTAGATACAGACTGACGGGGAGAGATAAACGGCAGGCAGGGCCACAGTGCAATAAAAAGCAGATGCTCAAAGTGAAAGACAAATGGGGGTAATTCAAAACCCAAGAATCAGGCTGAATATTTAATTGCTTTTTTTCTTTTACATATAAAGAGTTTGGCTGCAGCCGGGGCTAATTCATTCTGCTTGTCCCACTTCAGCAAGTGGAGCTGATGTTCTCTGAAGGGAACAAAACCTCCTATGACCTGTGAATGTCTGAGTTCCCTGTAATCACTTCTCCCCCCTTGAACTTCTTTCCCACCGGCACTGACTGCTCGCAAGGCACCTAAATGCTCATGTTCAGCATCCCTGTGCACTTTCCAAGGAAGTGGCCATTCTTTTCAGGATATCTCCTGCTTACGCAGCATTCAATGAAAGTGTCTATTAATTAGACTCTTTCATTGCACTTAACTTTCTGTAGAAAGAGTTCAATCACTGGAAGAGAAAGAAATTCAGGGATGCAGAGTATCTATTTCTAAGAGGCTAGGATCCTTGCAGCTCTAGGTTTATGTTCAAGTCTTGGTTTCACCACCTATTGTCTCTGTGACTATGGGCAAATTACTGAATTTCCTGGTGCCTCAGTTTCCTCACTTGTACTGCTAACAGTTAGAGTCCCCAAGATTGTTGAGAGCTTTACATGAGGGCATGCACACACAGCCCTGAGCACAGTGTCTGGCATTAACTAGGTGGGAAATAAAGGTGAGTTTATTTATTGAAGGAGTATCTCCCATTCCGCCCCCATTATCACCAATTAAGAACAGAGATAGTAACTTAAGTTGGTCTATCCTCAGTCCAATCTTTCATTGCTTCCATAGTAAAATTCTTTATACGTGTGGGAAGATTTTGAAAAAATTCAGTGATTCTATTGTCGAAAAGGGAAACTATAGACTGGATTGACCCATTTCACAGATGAGCAAAGTGAGGCTGGAGAAACTAAATCTTACCAATTACTCCACAAGCAGTGAGAAGCCTTGGCAAAGTCCTTCTCAACACCCTTCATGCTTTCACAAAGTCAGCAAACAAAAGAAGCTGATGTAAAGTGAAAATAATTTTACCAGAACCCACCAGGCCCCCAAGAAAAACTAACTTTAGACTTAAAAGTAAACTAGACTTAGAGAACCAAGATCCTGGCATTATTTTAAAGCTTGACTCTGTTCCTAGGAAACTTTCCAGGGGAGTTTCATCTGCTGGCCAGGCCCCAGCCCAACTTTTCTTCAGGTCAGTAAACACTGGGTATGACACTGTGCTGGGTGCTGGAATCAGGGCTGACGAAACTAGCAAAGTGACATTCTAAAATTTGGACTGCAGGGGAGAATGAAAACTTTTGGATCAAAGCCCCAGCAATTCAAAAACCCTCTGCTTCCAAAGCATTTGTTTAAAAATTCTGTCCCCATGGAGCCCCTTGGGAGCCTGTCAAACCACGTACAGACTCTAATTTCCTGAGCATAATTTTTACTTTAAGTTAAAAAAAAAACAACCCCCAAAACCCCACCCCCAAACCTTTCCCTGCCTGGCATATGTATCTCTCACACATGAAGGCAGAGATGCCGCCATCTGACTGGGAGAAGGTGGCGAGAAAAGGCTGCGGCTGGTTTGTTAAGATCAGTCCTAGTGATCCAAGGTCGGAAGTGAGGAGCTGACCAAATGACCGCTAAGAGAGGCAAGAATTCAAAACATCAGTAGAGGCCACGTCCATGGGTGGTGGCCACACTGGATGCCCTCTGCCTGTCTGGCTCAGCTCTGTCACCAACCAGCACGTGACAGTCAAAAGAGGAGAGAAATATGGCACAGAGAGACTGGCCAAACCTTTCATTTATCTTCCGGACCAACAAGATTCAGAAGGCCAAGCGATGGTCTATTAATACCCTGAGCCTCACATGACCAACACAAAGCATGATGAAAGAAAACAAAGCCTGGAGTGGTTCTTGGAAGGGCGGTCGGCTGTGCACTGTGACTCATCAGGGGCTGGGAGGTGGGTCAAGGGGG